TGCAACACGCAGCACAAGAAAGACATGGGCCTGCTCGAGCGGGTCCAGAGGAGGGCCACGAAGATGCTCGGGGGCTGGAGCACTTCTGCTGTGAGGACAGGCTGAGAGAGTTGGGGTTGTTCAGCCTGGAGAAGAGAAGGCTCTTTCAGCAGCCTTCCAGTACCTAAAGGGGGCCTACATGAAAGGTGGGGAGGGACTCTTTACCAGGGATAGGATGAGGGGCAAGGGATTCAAACTGAAATGGAGTAGAATTAGATTAGATATTAGGAAGAAGTTCTTTACTGTGAGGGTGGTGAAACACTGGCACGGGCTTCCCGGAAAAGTGGTAGAAGCCCCATCCCTGGAAACATTCAAGGCCAGGTTGGACAGGGCTCTGAGCAACCTGCTCTAGCTAAAAATGTCCCTGCCCAAGGGGGGTTGGACTAGATGACCTCTAAAGGTCCCTTCCAGCCCAAACTATTCTATGATTCTATATAGACTATTAAAAATATATTGCTTTTAAATGTGGAGTAATGTGGGCATGATTCTGCAATCAAGTCTTCCTCGACTACTAAGGAATCTTATTATGATAGATTCATACAGGATGCTGTTTAAAGAACAAGTGGTCTTTCTGTCTCCAATCACAACAGCACTAGTTAGAGCTTACCTACCAGTTTCTGATTCTTTTACGTCTATTCCTATCCTTACACATTGATTTCCTTTGGAAAAATACTTTCCTTTTAATTTGTTAACTGAAAGAAAGAATTTTTATGGTGTTTATACAAGTTACATTCCATGATATAGATTTGGAAAGTAAAAAAGTCAGTTTAAGATCTTAGAAACCTTGCCATAAGAGCAAATTAAGTGCACTCAATATGGAAAACACTCCTAAACTGTCATTACGTTATCAATTTTTTCTTACCATAATGTACATACAAACTGCATAATAGATTTCTTGTGTTTCTACTCCAGCAACGATATTCATTGCTAGCTCTTGAGGAACACGAAGAATAAATTTTTAAAATAGCTCACTTAAAGCTTTTTCTCATCCACAGTCAAATTTCAAGTGTCCTCATCACCTGTCTCTGTGGATTCAAGTTTTTCCTTCTCTACCAGTTCAGTTTTGCTAAGCAGAGAGGAAAATTTACAAGTATTAAAAAAAAAAATTAAAAAATCATTACACGGTTACAGAACATCATTCTAATTGCTTTTATGTCCAGGGAATGGACACTAATATTAAGTCATAGTATTTTTCAAAGCGAGACTAACGCTTTTCATACTAACTCTGCAATAACATGAAACTTGAATATTCGAATGCCATGAGCAGTTCAAGACGACTTAGGGAAACTTCCAATTAACATTGAGGCCACAGTACTTTCAGTGGATGCTAGCTATGTTATTTCTCAACAGAAGATAAAGAACAAGTGGTTGGAGTTAAACAGTATCTCAATATCACATTAGTTCTAGATTATAGCCAGCAAACTTTCCAGTCTTAGGGATTTTATTTTAGAACTGAATTTTGCATTAAAAACCAGAACAGACGTTGCACAAAAGATTGCACTAAACAAAGAAAAGTTATCAGAAAATAGCAAGGAAAACAAGTGTGTTGAAGATGCCTCTTACTGCATAATTTTCTATTTCATTTTCCTACTCATGCTACTTTTGATTATTCACAATACATCATCTTGATTATTTTCAGATTTTACTCTTTATAGCAGAAGTGCCAGGTAACTACCCAAACAACATTTTAAAGCGCGGTCACTTTACTGATGAGTATTTAATTCAATATCTCTTTTAAATATAAGTTCAATGTTTTGTATTAAGATATCTTACCTAAGGCAACGTGTGTTTAGGGGCTGATTACTCTTCAATCCACTTAGCAAGTACTCAATGTCATCTGTGAACTCTTGATTTTCACCAAATTCCACTACATCATTGAAGTGCTTTACATGCTGAACAACAGTGTATAACTGGAAGAGACAAATATTTTGACCTAGGTAAGTTGCTCTTGGGATTGATTAGAACCTTAACAAGTATAGTCTAAAATCTATTCAGTTTTGAGTGCAAGAAAACATTAAGAAGTTAATGAAGGCCATTCAACTATTGAGATAAAAATATTATCTTTAATAGGAAAGCCATTTTGACACTGTTCCTTCAGTACTTAGGATTATCAATAATTCTTTATCTTAAAAATTTGTTAAGAATACTTACTTCTTTGTCTTCTTTCCTACATTTCAATGCAGTTACTATCTCTTGATAGGGCTGAGTAGGTATTGTCACAGTTTTTATCACTTTGGGAGGTGGTGCAGGAGCCTTAAAAACTCCATCATCTTTATGAATTGCCTCCTTTGAAGATAGCCTTACCTATTAATAAGAAAGTGCTAAAATGGGCAGATGTTTTGAGCATGTAAACATATACTAAATACATCAGGAAACAGTACAGGTGTGCAATTGTCAAACTCACATTTTGGGACTATGTAGTCCTTTGCCTTACACTACCAAAGATGTACCTAAGCTGTGTGATAATGCACCTACTCTTAGATATTTAAGATGTGAGAAATTATATTTATTTTTAAACACAAAAAATAGTACTAAGTAGTCAGGAAAGCTCCAGTGGAATTTTTAAACTAAAAAAAATAAGAAAAAAAAAAGGTCTGTCACACTGGTTCCTTAAGCTTTAGGGTAAGTTAAACCAATGGAGTTCAGTGTTTAAAAACATTTATTTGTTGACACAAGTATCTTATTCCTTTACACTGGAGCTTCCAGGACTGACTAAGGTGGTTGCTATACTGAACCATCACTCAGTACACTGGTCTGGATGCGAGCACAGCATTGAGCAATCACTGCCTCAACTGAAAAATTCTGTGCCTCTAACTAATGGAGGCTACCACACGACTACTCAGGGTGTAGCTACCAGAAAACTGACCCTCCAACCTGATACTCCAAACCATATTTTGCCTGTAGGTAGAAGACTACCAATATAAATTTTGTAGCACCATAAAAACTGCCACACAGAGAAACAAGAGGCATGGTGCATGCCTCAAACAGCTAGAGTATGCTTTTGTAAATTCATGGTATTCTCCATACATGGCCTTATTCATGTTTGTGGTGTTAATATTTTGGGAACAACATACAGCAGCACGAAATACAGCAGAACCTGTTCTAAATTTACCACAGGTAATAAAGAACTTGATGTCAGGTCTAGAATAATTACTGACAAGTTTTCAGCCATCTCAGGCAAGTATTACAGGTTTCTCCTCAACCTACTGCTCTGTACTAGTTTGAGGCTACTATAAGCTTACGCGTTAGCTTATCTTCAGACTACTTACTTGGCACAAATTCAGATGTGGAGACAAACTACAGAAAACAAGGCATACAGGAAAGACCTTCAAATACCAAATTCTAAATGTACATGTGCCAATGCCAGTGGTCATTTACTCACCCTCAATCTCCTTAACATAGAAAAATGGGATTTTTTTTTTTTAAAGTGTGACCAAAAAAAATAGAATTAATATGCAGGCATAGAGGATGCATTAACTGTTATTTGCTCCAGGGGATTTTTTTGAGATAAAGCCTTCTTGTGCATCATACACCGACAGTCAAAATTAAAATATAAGCCAAAACAACCTGCTACATTAATGGCGTATTCTTTACACGCTGCCTCTATCACTGTGCAGCAGTTTAGTATTTGCTCACTTAGGCTCCAGTGGCAAAATGCTAATAAAACAACCTGAAAAGCTGGTTTAGAGCACAGCTGGAGGACTCTGATCTTATCAGTCTGTGAACACAGGTGATCCACTGAAGTATCTCATCCAAGTCTTGGTTAACGGCTTTCCCTTCAAAGCAAATTCTGAGGGAGCTTGGAGACACCACAGGAACGAGTACTTGGCATACACAGTCTGCATGCTATGGGTTTCTCACCATAAATCTATGACAAATTTATCCAGATCTTCAGGTAACAAATTTCTAAAGAAATTAAAGAGGTAGGGTCATCTGCACAGGGATTACCGCTGAACATTTGGATCAAGGCTCACCCATCTTGTAACTGTTGAATCTTAATCATACACATGTAAACCAAGGTTAAAAAAGGTGACTGAACTAACTTAGATGTACATCACAACACAAGGAGCAGATACAAATTCCCCTAACTGGTTTGTTCAGCCAGACCTCTGCCATATTCCTGAACTAATATTTTGATGGTTCCAGTTACAAACTGGAAGTTTGACAGAAGACAAAATGGCTTGTCCGAATATGAATGATCCAGATATTTTCCTAGTCTGAAGAGGATATATTCAAAGTCTGTCTGAGAAGACTCAGACAAAATCTGCCTTTAAGTTAGCTATCAGAGTACTTCACAAAAATCAGTATCACTACAAAGATTCAGTAAGCCACAAAAGCTTCAGTTCAAATGCACATAATTTAAATTGAGAGAAGGGTTTAGGAGAAACCCAGGAGTGAAATTTCTGCTCTCTTCTCAAACACTATGGTTATTTTAAAATGAGTAATCTGGCAATGGTTATTTTAAAATGAGTAATCTGCATTTTCCAGGCAGTGCAGTTAACATCAAAGGAAGGCTGTTCAGAATACTGTAAGGACACAGTATCCATCTGCATCCAGATAGCAATCAAAACAACTACAAATCAAAGAGAAGCTAGCATCGGAACAATACACACAAGTGGAATTAAAAAAAAACAACCAACAAAACAAAAACAAATCACAAAACTGAAACTGGTGACAAGAACAGAAGCTGAAGACGTATCACTGCAAAAAATCTACTTTCTGATTTTCTGTTCTCAGGCAAGTACTGTAAGCAAGGCACCAAATGAAATTAAGTTTACTGACAATGCACGATGCTCTCTTAGCATAATCAGTAACAACTTTTACACATACATAAGCCCAAGACCCTGGATTCTCAGGGTCTCAAAAGAATTAAAAAACAATTACCTTAAGCCTCAGAACATTCACTGATATTTGAACAAAAAAATTACTTTAAGAACTGCTTTCACCTCTTGTCTGCTTTTTGTAGACATGCTTATATGTGATATGTTCATATTAGCATTTCTGGCTGTATAGAGAAAATTTTGTTTATTTCATAGTGTCTACAGACTCAAGTCAGCAATTCACAATACTTTATTCCAATAGAAAGGAAAAAAGTAAGTGAAATATATCTTTTTAAGTTTTTCCTTTTTGACCTGCAACTTGCCAATTTCTATGGGTACTACTAGCAAGTTAATCCTAGGGGTCCTCACAGAAGACGAAACGGAGTCCATTGTTAGAAAGCTTAACTTCAGCAGATTAGGGAACATAACTTGATTGAAATATTTTTTTAATCTTTATATTGAAATGATATGGAAGATCCCATTCAAGAGGATTTCCACTGATAATTTCTTTCCTATCAAATACCCAGTGGCTCACAAAGTGGGCTTCATTCCGAATTACTGTGACATTACCAGGTATTAAGAACCTGAGTCTCAAAAAAATGGCCAGTGACTTGAAAAGAGATTTACTAAACCTGAGAACAAACAGTCTACTTACTGGGACGCTGGGAGTTTTCAAAACCGGCGGTGCTGGCAGAGCCTCCGATTCCGGCTGGTTCCAGTGTCTAGCATTATATACAGCTTTCGTGGGAGACTAAAAGACAAAAAAAACCCACCCAACTTAGTTTTTAACCAAATCTACCAGTAGTCACTATATATTTCAAAAATTACTGTAGCCAAACAAGTAAAATGAGCTTCTCCTCCCCCCTCCCCTTTTCTGTATTCCCAGCAACACATGTTCTCAATATTGTATATATCAGAAAACCTGAAACACGTTGAAGCTCCTGATGGTTTTAAAGACATACGGACCCATTCAAATGGCAAAAGACATGATGCACATGTATTTCAAGAATTTTTCAGTTTTTCTACTTTTAAAATTTATTCAAAGACAAAAGGTCTGCAACATTCCTATAGACAAATACAGACAGCTATAGGGGAAAAAAAACATGTTAGCAAACACCATGACAGTAGAAAATAGGACTAGTTTAGAATCAAAATGTAGAATTGATACAGACTGGAGGAAATAAATGCCTTAATCCATATTAATAAAGAAGCCTTTTTTTTTTTCCTTCCTGCTCAAAAATGTGCCAAGTCAAATCAAAATGCATCGAAATTTACTGTCCTTAAATTTTTGGGAAATACTTAGAGGAAGCAAAGACAGACTTCTATTTCTAGCATCTGAGTTTACCAGTCTAATTGCATAGTAATATACCAGACTAATATACCATTGCAATTTTCACAATACGTCAACATGCCACATACAACTACATACCTACTCACATACACTTATTTAGCATCTTAAACATGGAGAAAATTTATATAAAAAATAAAAGAAATTGGGCATTAAAAATAATTTTCTGTCAGAATATAACATATCAAGTATTTACAACAAACACTGGCTCAAGTACAGCCCACAGAAGGGCTTACGCATAGCAAACCTCTCAGTACCAGCTACAGACTGAAAACCATTCTATGAAGTGTAACAAGGTTTTGGCACATCAAAAGCTAGAAAGTAGATTTTGTAAGTCAAGAGTCTCTGTATTACTGGTAAAACTCTACTGTGCTGCATCGTTCCATTCTTTACAAGAAGAGAAAGCCCTGACTAACAAAACTTCAAAGAGTATTAGCAGAATGAAAATCTCAGCTATGAGTTTTCAGAGCCCAAAAGACGTGTCAAGCACCAAATAATTTTAGTCCCCAGAAAGAGAAAAGCCTCTTTCCGCCCTACAGTAAGCTTTGATACGGTCATAAGAAACTTAACTTAGTTGGATTTTTTAAATTATTTTTTAAAACAGTGCTCACGTAGCATTCGGCAACCACACAATGGCCATTGTCTTAACAGTTTCATCTGTTTTCCAAGGAAATTCTTTTAAACAACACATTTTCAGGCAATGGATATGCAAAGTCCTTCAGCAGCCACAAGCAGCCACCAGGGCCACATGTAGGAATACCAAAATAAAGTTTTTGTTAATTTCCATTTTTAACTTTCCCAAGTAACAGAAGCACTAGCTTGCCCAGTTTCCCGACAATCTCACTAAGCTCAAAAAGTTAAACTGAGAAACTAGTCTTAAGTTCATGCCACTGCAGTTATGAGAGGACATCCCTCTCTGCAAACAGGAAGACTGTGTCATATAGATTCTTATTTGAAAAAAGTTAACTGCTGACAAAATGGTTAAACAGTTAACACTCTTTTTTCCTGTAAGTTTCAGAGGAGTAGCAAATTCTTAGCCTGAATGTGAGGCAGGGCTTGTGATGAACAAAGGAAGGACAAGGTAGTAACAAAGGACTCCCACAGTCATGAAAGATACAGAGTTTCACAAAAGTCTGTAATGGCAAAGAACCACTGAACATTTTCTAGATACTCACTTTTTTTTTTTTTTTTTGAATTACAACTGTTCCACAAACTAGCTCAGTGAATACTTAAGATAGGAAGAGAGGGTGTAAGTTTGTAGGTGCCATATCCTGGAATATGGGATAATTCAAGGAAATAACGCACTCTATCACATAACCAGCATGAAAGTACTGCACATGTTTAGCATCAGTTTCAGCTGATGCACAATTCTTAACCTTGCAGGGAAGCTCAACTACTACGATTCTGACAGCAGTGTACTGCATTACAGCTGCCAGAAGTCCCATTAACATAGGATATTCTCTATTAATAGTCCCAAATCTCAGCTACAGTCTAAAAGAGTATCCTACCCATGCTTAAAGGCTACTAACATATTAATATTCCTGAATTTCCTGTCTGGGAGCTACATGCTGCACAGAAGCTTTTCAGGTCTCTGCAACAGCAGTGTCGGCTCAGCGCACCCAGTGGGGAGATGCTGCAGGGAGATGCAACCCACACAGCAGGATCCTAGATTTATGCCATTCTCTTAGCTTGATGAAGCAACAACAGTGGCACAGATCAAGGCAGACTCTGCTGCTCCTGCAAGACTCCCATTTTCAGGCAATTCAATTTTTTTGGCTGCTCTTGTACATACAGCCCCTGCCTGTGCACTCCTTTTTCTTTAGGCCTTGTGCTCTGTGACGAACCAAACCCAGCCCTTGTTGGGCATAGGGGGAGCAGAGTCATGCTGGCATTCAAACTTGTCTTACTCAGCGAGGCAGCAGTTGGGACAAGCCCTTGCTGACCACATGACGAGAGCGTCTGCAGTCTTGGCTTTGCGAAATCTAGCACCTCTGTGGCATAAACATGCACACAGCAAGGAAGCACAGATGACAGTCAAGTTCAGTGCTTTTACATGGAGTAGAAACAAAGGATACAAACAGCTGTGCCAGCATAATCAAAAGGTCCACACGGCCTTCGTGTGTTTTCTTCAGCAGAGAGCAACAGCTGATGCATAGGAAAGAGTTCGACAGGGCAAACAGGTAAAAACAATTCCTTCTACTCAGGGCACGGAGGCTTACTGAGTCAAAGATGGCATCGTTTTTAGTTAACAGTCAAAAATGGGCTCTTCTTCCCTGACTTTCATTAATCCCTTACTAAATCAAAAACTAGGGCATCCCAAAGTGTTTTGTGACAAGGCACTTCACAGCTTGCTTAGGCACTACCAATGCAATACAGAAGGAAGCCACATTTTATGTAAGAAATCAAGTAATGCCACCAAAAAATGCCTGTTTGCAAAATAAGGATGTCTTCATTTCACAACCCTCTTGTAACAGAGCCTAAACTGCAACAGAAAATGGTAATTATTTAAAACCTCAAATACCTATGGAAGGTTACTTTTAGCCACTATCCCTTGTAGTGTCTTTCACATTTAGATCGAAGTCATTTTGCCTGTGATGCCATGTCGTTGCAGTAACATTTCATTAGACAGTAGACACTGCTCCCCAGCATCCTTACTATCTGGTCCAGTCTGCACACAGCTCAACCACCAAACACACCTCGAAAAATCCAACACTGCTTTCCAAACACGTATGTTCTAATAAGTTCTAACACACCATGCAGAGACTTCGGAGCCTCTCTTACAACCCACATGGACACAGCAAATACATCCTTCCTTTACTATCACCTCTTAAAGCAATCTTCACATTTTTCCTTGCAACACAAAACGAAGATGAATTCCAAAAGCAATCGCAAAGAAACCGCGCCAATGCTGATCAATCGGTAAGTGCCATGTAGACTTGCTTTAGATTACTGTGTGACAGAACTGAAGTGAGGAAAAGTATCAAAGATCAAATGAATGCAGTGAAGAAAGACTTTTCAGAAGGGCTTGACCACAAAAGCAAATGGGTTGGTTTGGTGCCTTTTTTTTTTTTAAGGCAACTCAAACACTTGTGATAACAAGGTTCCCTGAAGAAGCACCACTGATATTTAAGCAGCAGTAATTTAAGAAACTGACTTTCTTTTAAAGACAAGACAACCTTGCAATTATTCAAATAACACAGACTTTTCTTTAATAATTCTTCCTCGCAAAATTAACTTAGAATAGATGTAAGTGGAAGTACATCACTGTTGAATTCTGCGTTTTTAAGGCAAATAAGTTCTGCAACATTAATTAGCTGTAAGAGCTTCTGCTGAATAGTAGAAGTTTCCTTTTTCCACATGCATAGAACTGACAGCTGTTCACACACAGATAGATGTCTGAAAGAGTGCAAATATTCCGGTGAGGGTATAAAGCATATCGTACTGTGGGCCTCTGCATGTGGTTCTGGGAGGTGAACTGGGATGCAACACCAGAACTAATGCCAGGGATTTTACAAAATGCAGAGGGCTGTCAGCTTTATAAGATCACCTCAAAGAGCATAAACTATGGGTCAAGCTTAACCTCCCATCCTTGAAACCCTAAAAGCTGAAATTTTCAAGAGTTAGCACTCTGCACGTACTGATGCAGCACTGCCTGCATTCAGAGATATAAGAATAGCAGAAAATAAGAGCCAGGGACATGAGTCATGCTGAAAACACTAGCAAAGCAAGACAGACAGCAGCTATTTGCAGGCAAGAATGCTTTCCAAGGTAGAAGACAATGGCAAAACAATACCCAAAACCATTTTAAACAGATATCCTGATAAATGCATTATTTATGTCTGAAGGGCATTCAGAAAGACTGTATACCAGATGCTCATCAAAACTACAAGTTCCAAAAAACCCCCAATAAACGAAAATATATTATTTACCACTCAGTATTCATAACCATTAAAAGTACTACTCTGTCCTGCATGTCTCACTTTGAACAGGAAAAAGCTAACATGTTATGCAGCACAGAACTGCTCATAATGGACCGTTTCTTTTCAAAAGGGAAAGGAATCAGCATCCATTCAGAGCAAAGAAAAAGAAATTATGCTTCAAAACAGGAAGATGGAATATCAATTCAGCAGAGGCTGAGCCATGTGTATATAACACCAAAAAAAGTTAGTTTTGACTCCAGATAAGACAGCAGTTTCCAACAGCAGTTTAGAAATGGAAGCAAACCAGGACCAAGTAATTTATTCAGTGCTCAAAATGTGAACTGAATCTCCACTATTTGGATCACAGTAGCAGATTAGTACCAACAGATCACCCCAGGGTGTCACGGACCACTTAATCATGAGTAGCTACACCATTTAATGCAGTACACAAAAAACACTGTGCAAGCACATAGCTAGATAACC